ACACACTAACATCTTTTCCACAACCACGAGATGTCTTTCGACATGATTGTTTATGAAATGAGAAGCAACTCATTGCACCAGTTTGAAAATAACTTGTTGCCAGCTGAAAGATAATCACCTATGCACCTATAAGAGGCTCGTACCTATTTGCTTAGTTAAATCCAGGTGGCGATTTGTTTTTTGGTCAGGCAGTGTGCTATCCAGTGTTTCCCGTGATGCAGCTGCTTCGGAGAGACAGGTAGCTCACACACCCCTACTCACCACCCACTACCCCCATGTTCAGTGTTAGCTACAGTAGGTTGACAATTTGTCATCAACTTGAGTAACTCTGTCCTCTCCTCTCACTGGCTGTCCTCTACTATTGTGCTCCATGTTCCACTCTGACCCGCCACCCGCACACTGACAACATAGCAGGGCAAGCCGAAAACAACAACAACAACAAAAAAGCAAGCTATTGCTGAATTTCTACCTGAAACGAAATCAGCTGAGGTTCTTTGCTCATCAAAGACTGTTGAGGCATCCGCTGACCATCTGTCCCTCCACAGTCCCACAAGGATTGCTACTCCTTTCATAGTACTGCTAAGCTTCTAAAGAACCTTTAACATAGTGATCACCTAATGGGTCTTCTTCTTCGTTCTACAGGCACTCAAGAATCACTCCTCCTTCCAAAGTATGTAGTGAAATGGGATTCCTTTGTCCTGGATGTGAGCGTCTATGAGCTACCTTAACTTCTCAGTGGGTTTTCAGTTCCACTAGTTTGTGTAATATGGCCAAACAATGACTTTTTTATGTACTTTTAACATTACAATAACATGTGACTTGCGATGGATTATGAGCCAGATGAACAACTTTAAAATAACTCATTACTGGTCCATATGATGTCTGCTACATTCTGTAAATATGTGTATGTTCTAAAGAATAATTAACCCAATGCAAACTGTTTATAGTGCTACAGAGAATGTTGGCTGTACGCAGGAAATCAGTGCTGCAGGCCCAAAGTATTTGAACTTTCAGGAAGTGTTATTCCCAAGCAGCTGCATTTTGAGGTGGTAAAGGGATTTTCCTACAAGTAAATTAAAGCTCTCAGACACCGTGGGTAAAATTACAACACAAAAATAACATGGTTAGGTTTAGTTTACACTTAAAACATTGAGTTAGGTTACCTGGAGGTTACCTGGTTACATCAGTAAGCACATGACTACAGTGGAGGTGATGTGGTTGTGCTTGCCACAGCAACAATAATATTGTTGTCTGCCTGGAGCAGGAAAGCTAATTCCCTTGTTCCAGTGTTTTGTTGATCTACTCCAGCCTTCTCCTTACCAGACGTTGACAAATTTAACATTTTCTGCTGATTTGTTGGCTATAAAAATCTATAATGAATTTATTTGGATTCTCTCCCAGCTATCTTGAACATTTAGTGTGTATATTGACATTTTACATTAAGCTTAATTTAGTCACTTCTCAGTCCTAATACATAATACACTCAATACCTCTTTTGAATAAGAATAGTGTGTTGAATTGATCTACAACCTGTAGGATGTGCTGGGCAGCTATAACACTAAAGAACTCCGATAAATGAAAAGTAGTAGAAACAGCAGGAGCATTTACGTAACGTACACTACATACAGTAAATACAGCTCTATTTCTCTCCCTCTCTATTTTTTGCTTATTCTCTATGGAAAAATAGAAGGACGTGCACAAGTGAAGACTTTTAGTGTTTAAAAGTCGGTCAGCAGCCGCCTTTACAGTTGGCATTTAGTTCTAATTATGACAAATCTGTATTTATTGCACAAACATTTACATTGCTGCTGCTGTTTGCTTTCAGTTGAAGATTAGTTCCTGGGCTGTCCCGTTGCATGCCACAACTTGTGTGTATTTGTGTGTTTTCATACTAGTGTCGCAATAAAAAGCAGGTATGCAGTGATGCAGCTGTTGTGCGATTCCTAGATATTGGCTGTACTTAAGCGAGGGCAGGGTGCACACAGTTTGACGGCTCTTTAGTTAGAGCTGAAACTAGCCTTGGATCTCCAGGTAAGAAACGCACACACGGACACACACAGCCTTACTCAAAGACACTGAGGATGGTGAGTGAAGACTGGACACTCAGGAATGGATAAGTAATGAAGGTGAAAACAACTCAGAGGGGGAATCTATCGATTGTTTGCAGGGGAAGAAGAAGAAAGAAAAGCATAGTTAGCTGCCTGTTAGACGTATTGGTCTATTTATACTTTTTTATAGAACTTTTCTTCTGTTTTTTTCTTTAAATCAAAAATCTGCTCGGCTTTTGTTTTGTTATTTTGTTTGTTTTCTGTCTCGATAAACAACTTGCCGATTTGATTGCCGTGTTTATCCACTGTACACTTTTCCCCTCGTTCTCCTGGAGGTCAAAGGCACTCAGCTGCCCGATGACTGCGAGAGATGCTGGCGCTCGCTGTTGCCATAGTTACGGGTAGACTCACCTGTTGCCAACTTTTTCATTTTTATTACAAAGAGGGGAAGTGAAGGGAGCAAAAGAAATTCATAACAGGGTTGAGAAAGGCACGTACAGAAAGAAAAGCGAGGGGAGAATGATCTTAATGATGCCTTTTAAGGGCCAATTCAGTTACCGCATCTCATGTGAATATTCTGACACATAATTTAAAATAGATGCATTTATGTTTTATGTTGTAAGCATTCGCTGTGTGTGAGATAGTGATAAGAGATGGCTAGGCCTATGGGGAATGACTCGCTTTTGGAGCCTCCCTCAGAAAGACCATTCAAAGTATGTCTTCTTATGGATGCTTCTGCTCGATCAAAGTAACACACTGTGGACAATGAGAGAGAAATATTAAGATCAGAGGTCAGGGGGATTACTAATCTTTTGGCTGCTTTGTCCCATTTATCCTGAAAAATGATGGGGCTTAATAATCCGAAATGCTTTCAGTTGTGTAAGAAATAATGACATTTTCAGTAGATGCAATACTCAAGGATGAGTCATGGTTTCATCCCTCATTACCTGAAATGTGGATGGGTGTGTTTTGCGGTGCAGTCAACATGTCTGTGTTTGAGGGGCCCCATTAATAATGTTTTTAGAAGAACTGAATCATCTCCTGTTTCAATCATAGTGAGCAATTTTAGTTGGCAACTTTATGCTTTCTTTCCGCTTTCTTTTCTTTCTCTTTCTTTCTCTTCTCCCATTATGCAGTTGTTGCATATTGATGTGTGGCTTGTTGTGCAGAAGGCAGTCAGAGAATGCTTGCAAAAACTGGCTGACAAACCAAGACATTGACTGTCTGTTTGTGTGGGTCGAGGATGTGGCTGGCAGCGGGGGTATGCAGTCAAATGATTGTAAATTCAGTGTGTGTGGGCCGGTGAGGGTACATGCTATTATTCCAGTGACAGTTTTGATTACAAGAGTGTAAAATTTTTCTATTTGTTCAAACAACTGTATTTGACTGTTAAGAGTTATTAGGTGTGTGTGTTTATGTGTGAGGAAAAAAAATACTTCATCAATCAATGGTCAGACTGTTTCCTTGGCCTGGTGCACAATCTTAACACAAAGTGACCGATAAGGGAGCGAAAGGAGGGTCGGGGCTCGACTAACACAAGAAATAAACCCTTTTTCTTACCAGTATTATAGTTTAATCAGGAAATGAATGGAAAATGAAATCTGATTTTAGAAACCTGCCTTGGATGCAAAGCAGTGAAATCAGTTGTTTTTATTGGGTTTTTTCCCCTCAAAAAATGGGAAATAGGTGTAGCATAAAAGTACATAAGTGATACAGTTTATAAGGGGAAAACAGAATCTGTACAATTCTAATGAGCTTGAAAGTCAGTATTTGGTATGACTTTATTCATCAACACAGCCCGAACTTACTTAGGCAGCTTTCTTGTCATTTCTTTAAGCAGTCTTCAGGAATAGTCCTTCAGACATTCAAAGCTCTTCCTTGGATGTTGACTGTTTTTTGTTTCATTCCCTGTAAAGATGATCCCACACTGTTTCAGTAATGTTGAGGTCTGGGCTCTATGGAGGCCAGTCCATGACTGATTGTGTTATGTGTGTGTTTTTGTATACAGGTATGCTTTTACTGCATTTGCAGTAATGAAGTAATTGCCAGTCAGATGCTTGGTGGATGTCAAAGTCTGTTATTTTCACAGTGGGTGTAAAAACATGAAAGATGGATTATAGTTCCTCGGTATTAATAGTAAAGTCAGTGCAGGGGCGGAGCAGCTCCTTTCTAACCTGAGAAATTAACTAACTAGTTTTTGTTTGATTCTAAGCCTCTCCTTTACTACACTCTCATATTTAGTGTAAGATTTGTCATGAGTCTGAGAATGTGGCAGTTATGGTGAAATTACATTTTTCCTAATGAGCGTATCTTTTTAAAGAACATGTAAACATACACGACTTAAGTTGTAACTAATGGAGATGTAATTATAAGCATTCACTGATACAATAATAGTCAAGTATACATAGAACGCGTGCGCACACAAACACACACACACACACACACATAAAGAGTCAGAAGCAGCTTTCCAACTGCTGCACACAGACAGAGTGAGTGGACGTCTAAAAGCATCCCCTGACACTTTAAAATAAAATAAAAATACTCAAACCACATCGATGGGCTGAGAATATCTGTCTGGACGAGTTCATGCATACATGTAAGTTCAGATGCACAAGCATGCCATTTGCACCCACACAGTGAAGGCGCAGAGGTGCACAATGCAAGTCTGGAGCCCTTTTACTCCTCTGAGAAACAAACAGTCTTCTACAAGGGAAGCAGAAGATGCATTACCCTGTTCTTATCTTCCTGTTTGCAGCTTGTGTAGTTTTTACTTTTCTTTCTCTTTCTGTTATTTAATGAGTCCTTTATTCTATACTTGCTGTCTTGTATTCTTGGAATAAATTCATTCATTTGTATTATTGTTTTGGCATTTGACTCAAATACAATGCATATGCTTAGGTTAATTTGAGTTAATGGTAATCAAATTTTTTTGTGCATGTGTCCTGTCTGCAGACGACATCCCTTATCAGCGAGACCCGACTCCTCCTCCTCCTCCCTGCTTGTCCTCCAAATCAAACGCTCTGTCACAGGACCACAGGAAGAGCCACATCCCAGAGGAGTTTGCAGGCCTGCTTCATGGATCTTCTCCAGCCTGTGAACCCCCCGATACACCTTACCACCTTTACAGCCCCAAATCCTTTAAAAATACAGATGTCCAGAGCAACTTTCTGCAGACCCCGGAGTTCAGCATTGTGATCGGCGGAGGAGCCAGTCAGGTCTTCTCCCGGCCAGGGAGTGAGTCATACTCTCAGAGCTTAGCCAACGACACTCGAAAGCCACAGGTTGTGTACCGGACTATCTTCCACACCAAGGTCAACCAGGACCAGGCCCAACCCAGAAACTGTGAACAGGTAGATCTGCCTCGTGGATGGTCTACCCTGAGCCACCCACCCTCTTGTTCCTCTGGTCAAAACGGAGAAGTTGCAGATTTACGGGGAAGCCAGACAGGAGCGACATCCAAAGACAGTTCACCTGGGATTGGCTACGAGGAAAGGGCTTGCACCCTTGGGAGGATGAGGTCCATGCCACGCAGTGTGTTGGACCTGCAGCTTTCGAAATCTCTTTCCAAGTCTGATTCTAACCTAGTGGCAGTGTCTCCCATACAGGTAAGTTCTCGCTACCTTAAAAGCGTCATTCTCTATGCAGCCAGAGCACTAAAAAGAACATGAATTCTGCGATTTAGATTAATAAGAGTTATTAACAAGAGTCTTTCTTATCAAGTGTTTCTGGGAATTCATTTGACATCATAAGTAAAACTTCACTCTTTTTAAACGTCTGCACAAGCAAAGAAGTCTCCAGTATTGTTGTACTGAGCACAAATGCAAATATCGTAAATATTCACTTATATAAAAATAATTTGCATCTTGCTGTGTCATGTGACTTCATAAACAGAGCAGAAACCAGTCCAGCCAATTGGATAACTCATCAATCTGGGTCACAATGTTCTCTGCCGCAGCACATTTTTTGAGACTTCTGTAATTCATTGTAAATAAATCATGAGCTAAATACATAATCTGTTTGATGAAAATAGTGCCATTACAGCTGAAAGTTTGATGAGCACTGAACGGACTTATTTTCAGTTTTAGTTGTTCATATTTTTAAGGTTAAATATTTGGCAACTTTTGTTTTGCATCTCGTATTTGTGCAGTAATTAAGCACAAAGGGTTTTATTATTATTATTTTTTCTTACAGGAAGAGCACAGCTGGGGGTCCGGATCACGGGGCCAGGGCCCTGGAAGTCCGAGCCCACGTGAAGGCGCCAGCCCGGAGGGGAGATTGGAGAGAACGCCGTCTTTCACTGCTGAGTGGGAAGAGGTAGGAAGACAGTTTTCCTGACATGCACAGCTTATCACCCAACATTTAGCATCAATTGCAACATTAAAGAAGAAGCCAAGTTGTCAGCGCCTCTGCTCTGACACTGCATTTATTTTGGTCAAGTGAACCGTCTCAGCAGGAAACAGTTGAAAACTCCGCACCCACAGCAGTGAGCTGCTTCAATTTTTCCTCCTTTTGAAATACACTCGGCTACTACAGTGCAGAAGGAGCCCAAGTGCTAATTTAACATGCTCACATATTGATTTTGTTCTGTAACCAGCGATGAAGCTGCAGGGAAGACCCACGTATCTGAGAGAAGGCAGTTTCTAGTTTCTATTAAAGAGCTGCGGTCCAGGGTGCTGCGTGCTTTGGTCTTGGTGTGTTTGTGCCCAGGGTTCTTTCAATATTAAAGGGTCTCTGACACAGATGTGATGCATTGACTGGACACCACTGTTTGGATCCTTATAACCATTTGGGGTCACAGACACATTGACTTCCGCTCACTCTTCACACCTCAGAAAAAAAGCGCTCGTTGCACCCTGACACACCCAGAAAATGAAAAGCAAGTTCCATCACACGTAATCATGGGGATGCCTTAATTAGTCTCTCTATTTTTAAAGTAACTCTAATGCATGTCAGTGGAAGTCCATTTGTGCGTGCCTTTCCACATTTGCATGCACATGTTCATTAATTCCTCCACGCAGCTCATGACTTCCTGATGATGATGAATTGCCATATGGAATTTTCCACAGTTCTCATATTTCTTTTTCTGGATAATTGCATGCTGCATGAGGAAGAGATAAGGTTAGATTGGCCCCGGGGAAATTTAAGGTTGGTAAACAGGGATTTCAGAGGAAAAAATAACAAAGCTGCTCTATATCTATCACATGCTCAGGAAAGTGTTGCATTATTGAGAAGAGAGAAGTGGCAAGGGACATTCCATAACAGTCAGTGATTTGAAGATCATTCTCTTTAGTGCAACAAGCTGAAAGGTAGTCCAATATGCTGGTTTATACAAAAAATATGGTTATTTGGGGGGGTTCTTCTTGGTCAAAATCTAAACTCAAGTGACCCAGATTAGTCTCTTAATCTGAGCCTGGCACATGAAACATGGGTTGCATTAGTTTTATTTTGTAGGGTAGCTAAAATGTCAAGCTTAAATACTCCAGAGATCTGCTGTAGATCTAGTAAATGCATCTGATCATATTTGGAATTAGGACCTGCAAACTATTTGACATTTCATCAAAGGTAACCATTCCCTGCTTTGAATGACTGTGCATTGTTATGGTAGATCTGCTAGAACTTGCATTGTGCAGATGATATTGATGAACTTGCAAGAAAAGATGCTGGAACATCTTGATAAAGCATTGCCCCAGCTCATAACCAACAATATCCAAGGTATCAATTTAGATTTCAAAGTCAGTGGGACAAGACAGGAAATGGTGAAGACCTTCAAGTATCTTGGTTGCATGATATTAGATAAAGGCTTAAAACTTGAGATTTTGGTAAAGACAGCAGCTGAAATACCAAAATTTAAGACCACCAGCTAAGTTTACACTTTTTTTGTTCCTACCACCTTATTTCTAATTCCAACGTTCAGAGTTCGACATGTCATCCCACAATATACATGTTTAACTATATACAAGTCTACACTCATATACAATATAGACATAAAACAATTTAAGTTCACAAACCAAAACAACAAACTGCACTTTTACATTGGCTAAACACCCTGTGATTATCTGTATGTGCTCCAAAATTCACCTGCTGTGCTTCCTGTTGTCTACCTTTCTGTACGCCTGTGAAAAATGGACCCTCATGACAGGACTCCAAAGACATATTCTGGCATTACCGATAATATTGTCCATGACTGATGTGTTATTTAATATAGTGTCAAATTTTAATTGGTCCATCACCCAGTGATCTTCTTCTTTGTTGTTTAACGATGATTCAAAACATCTCAGGCACTTCTGTGCAGATTGGCTTTGATGTCTTGATACTGGGGTGGATGAATGGATTCGACTTGACCCAAACCAACTGCTTTTAGACTTACAGATGATCTCCTTGCCAATAAACTGCATTTAAATAGTTGTAGTTGTGCACGTCATTTTTTTTCTTTTTTTAAAAAAAATAATGTATCATTACTTTACTTTATGTTACGACCTGGCTCAAAAGCCGCAACATAAAAACAGAGAAGAATAACAGAGTGTGGGTGAGAAGAGGTTTCAACCTAAAATGGAAAACCAGGTTGGCTAAAATGGCTGGTGCCACCAAGGCAAAGACTAGTGCACTGCCGGGAAGCTTGC